AAAATTCAGTTCTCCGACTCCTTCTCGATAACGAGTAACTTCATTACATGTTGTTTCAGCTCATTTTAAATGCGTAGTTTAAACAAGCAGCAAAAGTCCTATTTTTTTCTATGGATTTCTTAAAAGAGATTTGTGGGGGTGTACTCATTTATGCTGAGCACTATATCCCTCCAGGAAGGAATTGAGTTTGTGGTGATCTCTACTCTACTTGATCATTTGTTAAAAGATACCCACGTCACACCCTTACATTATATCAGATCTCTGTTCTGAAAAGTACCAGAACATTTTTGACACAAGTTATCTGTTTATCTGTATAGAATTAGATACGATGCTGTCGTAAGAATTTGTCTGATGGCCCATTTAAAGGAATCAACAGAAAGTCATGGACACTCACTCCACTGCACTGCTACACTCATGTAAGACATGCAGAAGCCAACAGGAAATTGTAAATGTCAAAAGGTTCATTTCTGTTCTCGCAATCTGAATGCTTTCATCCACAAGTCCTTGAAGATGGAAGGCATTGGTGAGTGACATTGAGTACAGCAGAAGACAGTGTGTCCCAGATCTTACTGTGCATGAGGCTGTGAATTAATCACAAAGATCTTATGAAATATGAAAACGTGCTTCTAGAGTACAACCGCATACAGCTTTAAGTAATGATCTATTTAGTATCTTTTAAAAGACATGCATGTCTTTCTGGTTTTAAAAGAGACGTGCATCAAGTAAAAAGAAGCCACTCGAATTCTGTTCTAATTTTTAATAATATTTTTTCTTAATTTAATCAATATTAATTAAAGTTTTATTTATTTTAATAGTTTTTTTTTAATAAACATTACATTGTGAGTGGTCCAAATAAATAACTGTTTATTTAAAATTTATGTTAACTTTTCAATGGACGAGCTTAATCTTTTCCTATAATAAATAAATAAATAAATAAATAAATAAATAAATAAATAAATAAATAAATAAATAAATAAATAAATAAACAAATAAATTAGTTCCTTTGTAATATTAGCATTTCTTGTGTGTATTGTCTATTCTTGTTGAATTGCTAATTTCCTCCTTAATTGTAAATCACTTTGGACAAAATCACCTGCTAAATGTATGTTGTTGTACAATGTATGTACATTATTGTATGTATCTTCTAAGTTTTAGAAAAATGAACCAGCATTTTGAGAACCTCTTCTCTAATGCACAGCCATCATGTATAATATTAGAAAATTATTCAACCATTTTTTTTTAGTTTTCTTACAACTAATGCCGACTTCAGACTGCATGGTTTTAGCCTGATTTTGACTCGCCGACAGGTTTTGAGGAATCGCCAACAAATGCCTGAAATCACAGGCAAATCGGTGCTCGTGCACGTGAGTGACAATCACACAGTATGAACGATCAAAGACGCGATCTAAGAGAATCGCCAATAAGTCGCCAATGCCTGTGAGATATTTGGCATGCTAAATATCTGGAGCTGTTGGCGATTCAAATCATGCCATGTGAAATGTGTTCTGATTGAACATAACATCAGTGATCGCCTACAGCCAATAAGAGAGCAGCATCCACTAGTGTGTGTGTGTGTGTGTGTACCTGCTGGTCAGCGGGAGGTTGGGGGAGAAGTTTATTAAAAATGCTTCTTTTTCAGTTTATTTGGACCCAAGAAATGGAGGAAAAACTAGCAGAAATCTGGTAGCACCTGTGTCTGTTTGGTGTGTCGTGAGCAATATCACCACCGCGTCAACAAAGAAAGTTGAGGAGAAATGGCTAATTCCCTTCAAACCCAGGTGAGAAAATATGTACATTTTCTACCCCATTAAAAGCTTCTTTCTCGTTATGTAGTTTATAACAAAAGGTATACTACATGTTTTTGGCTGTGAGACGTAGTTTGAACGAAGTTGTCTGCAATTCTTTCTATTGTAAAGTCATGCAATGTGAAAGCCCCTGTCGCCGATCCATCTAGCAGTGTAAACAATGCAGCGACAAAACGCTAGCCCAGATAGTCATGCAGTGTAAAAACATCTGTGACACGAATACTTTGACAATCATGCAGTCTGAACTTGGCATAAACCAGAATAACATGAGGGCTCAGCAGGGCTAAAGCCCTAGGGTCCACAGAGGAAGGGTGCTCTGGATTGGCAGTAAAACTATATTGCGCCATGACACATGAAACGCCTCTTTGCGTTAAGTTTTCGCATGTCAATAATGTAAAGTATTCCATTCGGCTCGTTGCTGTTCAAAAACAGTGACGCCGCAAATTTAGGCTCAGAGCTACTTTAGCTTGGTTTTAAATAGCCTGGTTTAGTCCCCCATAAAGGTGACCAGATGTCTCGTTTTGTCCCAAGGAAAGTTCCTTATTTCTCAGCACAGTTTATTTCGGCTCTACTGCAAGAACGGTCCAGTCAAAGGTAGGCTAACAAAGAGCATTGTAGAACAAAAAAAAATAATTTAAACACTATCCATTATTAACGTGCAGTAAGAGAAACCAGGGTAGGCTGAATCATGCAGT